ACTCGATGGGCGACAGGGGTAGGGTTCGGAAAATTCGTCGAACGCGTGGCGAAATCCGAGCCCTCATCCCGCCGCCCATCGCTTCAGGAGGATCGCTGGATCGCTGGTTGGTTGGAGGATCGCTGGTTGGTGCGGATGTCGCCGCCCAAGGGGGCCTTCCGCTTCAGAAGGCTTCCCAACGGTGCCCAAGGCCCTTCTGTGAAGGCCCCCTGCCCTTTTTGCGGGCCCCGGAAACGGCAGGGCCGCTTTTTCACCGCTTCCAAAAAAATGTCCCTTGAAAATGGAAACGGCCAAAAAACGGCAACGGGAAACGGCATATAAACGGCTCCAGGATCGGAACCGGAGCCGGAACCGGTCCAAAACCGGCGACGGAGCCCGTAAAAAACCGGCGTCGGAACCGGCGAAAAACTGCAAAACGGAACCGGTAAAAAAACGGCCTCGCCGTTTCCAGGGCCCACCTAGCCCCTGCCTCGATCCTCGATCCCCCTCGAGCTGGTCTCAGCGGCCACCGCCCGCTCGAGCGGGCCGCCACCAGGTGCGGTGGGCCGTGGCGACCAGGGCGCCCCACGAGTCGATGATGCTCCGACCGTGTGCTGGCGCCAACGTGTGCCTGACCCAGAGCCCCTCGATGCGACGCAGGCGATAGGCTGGCGATGCTGCGCGCTGCTGGTGGAGGTGAGCAGGGCAAGCACAAGTCCTGAAGATGGTCGAAGAAGGCCCGAGGAGGGCCAAACGCCTTGAAATTCCTCGACACGCGATCCCTCTCGAGCCAGCCCATTCTCAAATCCGGCTCCCCCATTTTGTTGCGTCATTTTGGGCGTTTTCGCTTGGTCTCTTTGGACCAGGGCCCCTCGGACGTCAGTCCGGCTGGAGAAATACCGCAGAAGAACGGGGGTCGACGGCCCAAGCAGTTTCTTATTATTGTTGTTATGTTTATTATTGTACTTCTCCTTAGTCACACTGACGTTGTATTGTTGTTGCTTATGCTGTTGCTGTTGCTGTTGCTGGTGCTGGTGCTGCTGCTGCTGCTGTTGATGTTGCTGCTGTTGTGGAGCTCTCATTCTTGATGAGTATAATTATTACGAATCGCCCCCTACCGGTACACATTGTATTTCTTAAATTGAAGTGCCCCCCTCGGGGCTCGCACCCTGTTTTTAATCAGGGAAGGCTTTCCTGCTCAATCAGTGCCCCTGGCCCCCCAGCTACAACAACAACGGCTCCCTCCTGTTCTTTCCTCACAATGTATTCCGAAATCGCTGTCTCGCGCAGGATTTCGTCACAATGTATTTCCAAATCGCGCTCTCGCGTGGGGCTTCTTTGCAATTTATTCAGACGCCGCACCCTCGACACTCAGGAATCACGCTCTCGTTCTGGTGTTTTCTAATGGTTTACTTGGGAATCGCGCTATCGCTCGAGACTTCCTCGCTATGCGTGCAAGGCTCACGCTTCAGCAACCCGGCTGCTCGACCTGCCGCTTGGGCCCGCCTTCCCGTCCCGCCCGCTAGGGGGTTCTGCCAGCCCAATCTGCCCGTCTGGTTCTGCCACGTGTTGTCTGATCCTAGCCCGCCTCCTGCTAATTTCTCTCGTGCTCCATCGTTCCCCCTCCCCCTTCCATCCGTCCTCTCTTCCCCCTTGTTTTAGGGGCTGCACTAAATGCAGGTGACAGGTAAGGAAGACGTACTCCCAAGAGGGTACGATCGAGAGGGCGGATACCGAGGGTCTGGGATATACGTGTTGCCTGGCCCGCGAGCAGATAGGAGCCAACAATATTCAAATGATTGTTGTTGCTGTTGTTGCTGTTATTGTTGTTGCTGCTGCTGTTGTTGTTGGTTGTTGTATTGTTGTTGCTGACTTCTCATGTCTGGCAAACAGAGACTTGTGATCCCACACCTCATGTAGCCATAGATTTGTTCAAATGAAGTGCCCCCCTCGGGGCTCGCACCTTGTGTTTTACAAGGGAAAGCAGGGTGTTACCAAACCGGGCACCTGGCCTTCGAGTTACGCTACAACGGATCCCGTCTGATACCTCCTCACGATGTATTTCCAAATCGCGCTCTCGCGCGGGACTTCCTCACACTTCATGCAGAGTCGCGCTTTCGCGTGGGACCTCCTTGCAATATATTGAAACGCCGTGTCTTCGACACTCAGGAATCACGCCCTCACTGTGTATTTCTCACGATTTATTTAGGAATCGCGCTGTCGCTCGAGCTCTCCTCGCGATTCACGCAGTACCCACGCAACAGCAACACGCCTTCTCGGCTTGGCCGCCTGGGCCAGCCTCTCTGACCCCCCCGTCAGGGTCTACCCGCCCGATGGCCCCGTCTGGTTCTACCACGTGTTGTCTGCTCCTAGCCCTCCTGCTACTCCCGTGCTCAATCCTTCTACCTCCCCCTTCCGTCCGTCTACCCTTCCCCGTGTTTCAGGGGCTGCACCAATTTCACGCGGCAGTGGGGAAGATCAACCCGTATTATCGAAGACGAAGAGGGCGGGTACCGAGGGTTTGGGATATACGAGTTGAGTGGCACGCAAGCAGGTAAGAGCGAACAGTATTAAGATGACTGTTGTTGTTGGTGTTGGTGTCGTTGCTGTTGTTGTTGTTGGTGTTGTTGTTGTGATTGTGGTTGCGGTTGCGGTTTCGCTTGTTGTTGGTGTGGTGTTGTTTGTTTGTTGTTTGTTTGTTTGTTAGTGTGTTTGGTTGTTTGTTTGCTTGTTGTTGTTGGCGGTGGTGTTGTTGTTGTTGTTGGCGATGTTGTTGGTGTTGTTGCTGCTGTTGGTGTTGTTGCTCTTGCTTTGCTTTTGTCGCGAAACCTCACTTTTCTCGCAACACCGCAGGGGGAGGCGCACCGAAGTGGGCAGTGCTCGGGCCCCCCCAAAGCCAGGCGCAGGCCGCACCCGGCCGCTCGGAGCGGCAAGCGCAGGAGCGCGCGCGCCACTCCGGGGGTCCGACGGGGCCTGGCGCCGTGCCCGACGACCGGTGGGCGGGGGTCTCGGCTCGTCGTTGCCGCAGGCGCCTCGGCGCTCGCCGCGAAGGGGAGGAGGAGGAGGGGAAGGAGGACAGGGGGCCGAAGGAGGAGGAGGAGGAGGAGTGAGGAGGAGGAGGAGGAGGGGGAGGAGGAGGAGGGGCCGAAGGGGGAGAGGAGTGAGTGAGTGAGTCGGGCCGCGAAGCGCGGGTCTGCCCCGAGGGCCGAACCGCCGCGCGCGGGCGCGGGGGCTCCAACGCGAGCACCTCAGGGGATGTCGCGCCCTCCGAAGAGGAACGTAGGCGAAGTGCATGTACTTCGAGAAACCGTAGCCGAAAAGCTTGCACGACGCCACGTACAGTCAACCTGCACAGTAAGGATGGGTAACCTTTCCAAGGGTACCCTTGCATCCCTGCCTCCTCTGTCCATCCTTGGCCACTTTCGTTGGCCGCGCCCCGCTCGAAAAGCTTCGGAATGGGAGTCCAAGGCCCTTGCATCCTTATCCCGCATCCGTACTATACGGGCTGACTGCAGATGACATCGGCGACGAAGAACAACCTTAGGCCAATAATCCCAGGCAGACAGTCGTGGGAAACGATTGGAATGATGCCATCCACGCGGCAAATTGCCCAATGCACAGCCACCATATCACATGTCACGGCGACAGGCAGACGCTGGCTTGCTTGCCCTGGGGACAACCGCATCGGGTCCAGCGCCCCCCGGGGCTCTCGCTGTCCGAGCCCCCAGGCGCCCTCGGGACAGGTACTGGTAGGCCTGCCTCACGGGCAACCGCATCGGGTCCAGCGCCCCCCAAGGGCTTGCCGCCATTGCTACACATCCGGATTCGCTTTGCAGAAACGTTCAAGACCCAATTTCATTGCCGTCACGGCCGTGTCGAGCGCCTTCTTGTTGTCCGACGTCGGGAGGTACATCATTGCACCCTTGACGGTGTAGCATGCGTTCTCCATGTTGTCGCCGACCTCGTGGAACTCCCGCTTGAGCGATGCCATTGCGGCCCGCTCCTTGGAGAGCTCATTCTGGTACTCGTCACCCTTGCCCTCCTGGATCTTGAGTTGTTCCACCATCTCCGAGAGGGTCGTGTCCATTGCGCACTGGAGCTCGCCCTTCTCCGCCTGAAGTTTCACGAACTGGCCCTCCAGCTGCGCGATCTTCTGGTTGGCCTCCACCCGCTGCTCGAGCTGCTGCTTCTCCGCCTCAGAGTTCAGGAACTTGGCCTCCAGCACCTGGATCTTCTGCCCCTCGTCGAACGTCTTCAGCGTGCCGCCGTAGCCGCTGCCGTTCCGCTCGTACTTGGAGCCCTTCTTGCTCTCATGCTTCTGCACATCCTTGTCGTTTGCGGTATTACCCTCCTTCACGAGGGGGACAGTCTTCTCAACTTCAACTCCGTGGGTTCCACCTGCTCGACGAGAGACGGGTCGTTGATCGCTGCCTCGATGTCGCCCTGCAGGCTGACGTCGCGGTGGGCGATCCCATTTCGCACCTTGGAGTATTTCCCCAAGCGGCTCGCGAGGTCCGCACGGCCGACTTCGCGGAGGCGTGCTTTCACCTCGGAGACGCCTGGGACCGCCAGGTCGGACAGTATGTTCTGCATGCCGTCGATCGCCTCGACTGCGAGCACGGCGCCGCCTCCAGCACCTTCGCCCGCACCCGCTCCTTGTACCGCCCCGCGCGCCGCCGCTGCCACCACCGTGCTTGTGACCTTGGCCGTGAGGCCTGCCACGCAGCAAGCATGGCCTGCACCGAAGGCCGCCTGCGCCACCGGAAGCTCCGTTATGAGCTTGACGAGGGTGTTGCCGTCCCAGCCCTGGCCAGCCGCCACGCCGCGACTGCGAAATTGGGGAACAGAGGCCGCGCGGAGGCGGCGCGCCGCGCACCAACGAGAGACCCACCCCCGCCTTGAGCCAAAAATGGCTACGGGGCGAAGGGGGAGAGGAGGAGAAGGAGGAGGAGGAGGAGGAAGCGGAGGAGGAGGAGGAGGAGGAGGAGGGAGGAGGAGGGGGGTCGGGGACCAAGTGCCGA